AGCTGTGGTCACCTAAATTAGTTATATCAAAAGCTATACCTTCCCTTCATTTCCATCATAGAGTACAGAAATCACACTTGATGAGTTAGTGATTTACTCTTTGCCTTCTCTACTCCTTGTCTTCCATGCATTGTTTAAATTACTGGGACTTGGGAGATGGCTCAGTGGATAAATCACTTGCTGCCCAAGCATGAGGACCCAAGTTTGGATCTCCAGACCCCACTTAAAACCTTGGTGACTGCCTGTAATCCCAGCACTAGGGAGACAGAGATGGGGATTCCCCAGGCAGGCTGGTTAGTCAGACTAGCAAGAATTGGTGATCTTGGGGTCCTGTGAGAGCTTATCAGAAAATCAGTCAAGAGCAGTCTAGGAAGACACCCAACATCAACTTCAGTCCTCCACACATGCACATGTACCACACACATGTGTGCCCCCACACATATGATCACGTATATACACATACGTGCATACCACACATACACAAAATGAAAAATTAATACCAGTGTATAATTTGAACATGCCAGGTTATATGTAACTACAGAAGCTAGTAATAAACACAAACATTTGTAAACCAACCATTTCAAAGTGAAAAATAGGTGGTTACCAACATGGTTGAAGAGCTAACTGTGAATCCTTCCCTCGCCCCACATTCCTTTCTTTTCCCAACCCTGGTGAAGTTGTGTCCTGAATTTAACTCCTCCTGTCTCTTCCTCTCAGTGTTGGGATTACAGCTATGTTAGGTATGTACCATTTGCCTGATTTCATCTCTCTCTCTTTTTTAAATTTTATTATTTTTATTTCATGTGTATGAGTGTATTGCCTGCATGTAGGTAAGTACACCCGTGTCATGCAATGCCTGTGGAGGTTAGAAGAGGCTGTCGGATCCCCTGGGACTGGAGTTACGGGTCAGTTTTTAGCTGCCATGTGGGTGCTGGGATTCGAACCCAGGTCTTCTGCAAGACCAACCAGTGTTCTTAACTGCTTAGTCATCTCTCCATCCCCCCCTTTTTTTTTTTAACATCACACTAAAAGTCAAGTTTCATAATCATTCAATGTATAGGCTTCTAAAAGCTTGCATAAATAGCATTTTATTTTAGAGGAACATTAATTTACAAATTTTGTATATTTTAAGGAAAATATTCGAACTAAAATGTCACGTAGAAGCATCCCATTATGTAACTTATGTAAACTCAAATTTATAACTAGAAAAGAATTGCAAAGAATTGAGTGACAGCTTGTCATTTGGTTCCTTTTGGATCTTAGCAGCTGTCCTGTGTGCTTCATGTAACTGTGTGTTTGCTATACAAGCTTCTGAGGCTTATCTGTAGTTCCTCACATTTATGAATTTCTTTTCCAATCATGGAATCATAGCATTTTCAACAGAAATTAGTAGCAAAAGACGAGGTCATATCACCACAAAAATAACTGAATTTTTTTGTCATTAGAATTTGGAAGAGTTCAGTAGAGAGGTTAAGTACTGGCCTAGGACTGGGTGAAAGAAAGATGCTAGTGCTCAGGAGGCCCGTTTGTCTTTTTCCCTCACTCACTGTTGTGCTGTAAGGAGTCACATCATAGCCTACAGCTGTAGTTCATTCATCCTCACTACTATATAATGCTGTGTTGTGTGGAGTAGCCTAATTTATTTAACCATATTCTACCAATGAGTATTTGGATAGTTTTAAGTTTTTTGTTATTTTGATAGTTATACTTTAAACACAAGTGCAAAAGTATTTCTATTATAAAATTGAGAATTGCCTACAGAAAGGCATATGAATGTACTTTACATGATATTGTCAAATTGTTTTCCACTTGGATTTTACCAGTTTAATACCCACCAGCAGTATATTAGATCTGTCAGCATTTTGTTTCTTGCCATTATTTCATGATAGCATTTCTAGTTTTTACACTTCTAAGAGCTCTAAAACGACATCCTGTAATCTGAAGTTATGTTTATTTGATGGGCAATGGCATTCTGCATCTTTTCTTGTATTCTTCTTATAAGTTTCCTTGTCTATGAAATTTAGTTACAGGTTTGCCTGCTGTATTGTCTTTTTCTGATTGCTTGTAGACATACTCTATGTGTTTTGTATGAGTGTGCATGTTGTGCATGCATGTGTGGAGGACAACTTAGCTGTTATTCCTCAGGTACTGCCTCCCTTTAGTGGGGGGTGGAGGTGGGGACATCTCTCACTGGCCTGAAAGTTATCAAGTAGGCTAGATTAGCTGGCCAGTGAGCCCCTAGGATCCTCCTGGTTTTTTGCACCTGGGTTCTAGGGATTGCACACAGGTCTTCATGACTGAGCTATCTCCCTAGCCCTTGTAGACATTCTTATATTGTTTAGATGCTAATCTTTAATTGCTATTACTATGATTTTTATCTTTTTGAGACAGGGTCTCCCTGTAATCCCAGCTTCCCTGGAACTTGCCATGTAGATCAGATTGGCTTCTTAGCTCACAGAGACTGGCCTGCCTCTCCAGTGCTGAGTTTAAAGGCCTGTGCCACCATACTCAACTTATTTAGTTTTTGTTTTACAAATATTTCGTAGTTTATGGCTTGTCTTTTCATTTTCTTTGTTTTATTAATTTTTAAAAATTACATTTATCTAGTGTGTATATATGTCTGTGTACGTGTGTGTGTGCGTGTGTGTGTACATGTATTCCATAGCCTCTCTGTGGAGGTCAGAGATCAGAGATCAACTTCCAGGAGTAGCTTCCTTCCTAACTTCTTGTGGGTCCCTGAGATTGAATTTAGGTCTTCACGCTTAATGTCAAGCATCTTTACCTGCTGAGTCATCTTGCTGACTCTAAAAGTTTTTTAAATTAAAAGTTATTTATTTTTAGCTTCCTTTGTTTTATGATAAAGTTCTCAGCTTGCATGCAGTCAAAATACTCACTTTTTTCCTTTGGTTAATAAAGCTTGTCTTTCGTTTAAGATACTCTTCTGTTCTAAAGAATGTAAAACAGTGATTTGTTTTATATTTACATCACCTGGTTACAGTTCCTATTTACACTATTGCACTACATTGGTTTTGTAAGTGAAGTAATACGAAACAGAGATCCAATTTGGTTTTTTTTATTTTTCCATATAGATAATTTCAGGACCATTTAGTTGTCTGTCCAGTCTCACGCTTCTGAGATGGTGGACTAAGACAGTTGACTTTCCTGTCTCCAACCAGGTTCTTGTCTTGCCTTCTCCAAGAATGAAGCGGGCAGAGCGCAAAGAGTGAGCAAGCAAGAAGAACTTTCTTAACTCAGAATTAATGACCTTCATGGAGAAAAACATGACTGACAACTCCAATGGAATAGTGAGACTTGAAGTCTTGGAGCAGAGGGGGCTAGCTGAGAGCTGTTAGGAGTGTCACAGCTCCCGAGTTCTCCAGAGCAGCCAGTCGCAAGGTCTGGAGTCACAGGTCAATGGAGCAGCAGATATTGAGAGCTAGAGTTGGAGGTCTCAGAAGCATTGTGTCCTGGAGGGCAGGAAACAGCAGCAGGAACAAATTCCCACCTGCAGCTGCAGTATGTTGTGTTCAAGACTGAGGCAGGAATGAATCCCCCCACCTGCAGCTACAGGTTAAGTCTTAGGTACTGAGCCAGTGGGAACGTGAGCTGTAAGCCTCTGATGAGTCTGTGTCTGGTGAATCTTGAAGGCCTTCTTCTCTTCCTCCTCAGACAAGAGATCCCATGAGTCTCTTTCTCCAGATTGCATCACATAGACCCTGCTTGGTTGACTGGGTGGCATGCAAATGAGGTGTAAATGGGATCAGTCAGGAAAGATGAGGAAGGGGAGAAAGCTGAACCTTCCAGAAGCATTCTCAATCTTGCCTGGCTCTGCTTAATAGTGGTGGTAGGGGAGCAGATACTTAGCTGTCAAAAGGGTGCCGCAGGACAGTTTGCACCTAGGTGTTTCTGTGAGTTTTTAGCTACTACTGCAATATTCCTGTTGCCTTTGCACCAGGAGGTGCTTTTGTGATTTCTACCTGTAGTTGTCTACCCGCCACCATGGCAGGCTGTAGTAGACTGTCATCCATAGGCCAGTCCCATCATCTTCCTTGTCATTTAGGGCTGCAGCCTTTTCCTTAATTGTGCTCAGGGCTTTTCAGGGCTTTTTAGGTCATTTTCGGTCCAGCCAAGGTTTTGTTCCTCATTACCCTTTCGCTGACACCTGGGGCAGTCGAATCCATCCTAGAAGCCCACCACCTGGCTCCATACCATTGGG